CATCAGGCGGGGACCGCCCTCTGGAACTTGTAGCTCAGCAGACGAAACAGACATGTAAACAGATAGCTGAGGTTCAGTTGCCGCGAGACCCATGACTGAAAGTTTAGGCAAGGCGCTGCGGATGCCCATAGGCTTGTGTGGGAAGGGGTGGACCTGCAGAGGAGGCAATGTTTGAGTTGGCTCTTCCATGGGGAGTAAGAGGCTGGTGGGAGGATACAGGCAGGAGAATAACATCCTGGGTCTCCTCCCTCCTTGGAGGAGGAGCTGTAGATCCACGGTGGTCACGTGGCACCCACATTTCACCAGTGGACTGATCTGAGAACTGATTCTGTGAATCCTCCCTACAAGAGACATTTTATGTGTTAAGGTCCTATAGAGGCTTACTCTTTAAAACAGGAGTAGTTCCTGGCGGGGGGGGCGGGGGTTGGTAGGAAAGTGTTTGAATTAACCACCCAATGCCAGTCCCCACTGGGGATTTGAGAGTTAAATTCAAAACAAATCATATGGGGGACTTCCCTGGTGGTCCAGTGGTTAGGAATCTGCCTTCCAATGCAGGGGACACGGGTTCGATCCTTGGTTAAGGAAGTATGATCCCACGTGCTGCGGGGCAGCTGAGCCCCATGCACCACGATTGCTGAGCCTGCACACCTCAGTGAAGACCCAGCACAGCCAAAGATAAATAACAAAACAGCGACAACCACAAAAATCATGTGCATACCCCTCTGTACATAGACGTTAGTTGCGCTCATTGCTGCAATCGCTCTATTCAGTTCAGTTCAGTCGCTCAGTCCTGTCCGGCTCTTTGCGACCCCATGAACCGCAGCATGCCAGGCCTCCCTGTCCATCACCAACTCCCGGAGTCCACCCAAACCCATGTCCATTGAGTTGGTGATGCCATCCAACCATCTCATCCTCTGTTGTCCCCTTTTCCTCCTGCCCTCAGTCTTTCCCGGCATCAGGGTCTTTTCAAATGAGTCAGCTCTTCACATCAGGTGGCCAAAATATTGGAGTTTCAACGCTTCAACATCAGTCCTTCCAATGAACACCCAGGACAGATCTTTAAGCTGTAGTTTTATGGGCTCTTCAGGGCTGTGGACATGAAACCAGGAGGAGTGGGCCTCAAGGGCTGTTTCAGGGATTTTCAAGGAATGCCTTGGTCTCCCTGATTCCTGTCTGACTTGTGCCGTGATGGGAGGTTTGGCGCCTGCAGTGTGGGCCTCCTGGGGAGAACACACGCAGACAGAGCCTGGACGCCAGGCTGGGGTGTTTGCCACGGGAAGCTGCTGCAGGGGATGGACCGTGAACACGTGTGGGCCTCAGAGAGTTCTCTGGAGAGAGAGAGAGAGGAGATGGGACTGGACTCGGGAGGCCCCAGGGTCCAGGAAGCAGCGAGATCACAGGTGGTCGCTGCAGAGCCGAGGGCCCCGATGAGCGAGAGAGACCGACTGTCCACGCCCAGCTGGCTCCTCTGCCTTCCCCTTCTCTCGTGGTTTCCCAGAGATAGGAAATTTCAGGCTGGTGAAGTGAAAGGGGAGCAGAACGTGGTGTCTTCTGAGGACAGAATCCCTCTCCTTGACTTCCCGGGTCTCCCAGGGCCTGTGTGAGAGACCGTCTCTTGTGGGCTCCTGGCTCCTCAAGTTGAGGCCGTGGTGGCGCCATCTTGGAGTCTTCACCACCCTTGGTTGGCTCCTCAGTTCCCTCCTTAGCCGGCCACTGGCCCGCCTGGCACCTCGCTGCCTTGTCCCGAAAGAGAAGTCCGTGGCAAGCATTGTTCGGTGAGGACTTCCTGAAAGACTGAAGGAGCGAACCCAAAGGAGGATGGGGGTCCTAGGCCCCGGCCCTCCACATATTTGTCCTCACAGAAAATGTAGAAACTCCGAGAAACGAAAAGGAGAAAAATCAACCAGCTCTCTGCCAATTGACTGTGAACGTGTTGGCATGTTTTCCTTTTTATCTTCCCATATAACGTATGTGTTTTACTAAAGAGGAGTCATGCTATCTCTATGGTTTTATGTCCTCTTTCTTTATGTTTAGTATTACATCATTAACATTTCCCCACATCATTAATATTCTTTGAAACCGCTTTTTTCATGTTCCATGTTATTCCTTGATGCTTTATTTAACCACCCCTCTCCCCCATAGGACCTTTTTAGTTGTGTTTATCATTTTGCTATCACTCATGTAATTTTGCGGAGAAGGCAATGGCACCCCACTCCAGTACTCTTGCCTGGAAAATCCCATGGACGGAGGAGCCTGATAGTCTGCAGTCCCTGGGGTTGTGAAAAGTCGGACATGACTGAGCGACTTCACTTTCACTTTTCACTTTCATGCATTGGAGAAGGAAATGGCAGCCCACTCCAGTGTTCTTGCCTGGAGAATCCCAGGGACGGGGGAGCCTGGTGGGCTGCCACCTATGGGGTCGCACAAAGTTGGACATGACTAAAGTGACTTAGCAGCAGCAGCAGCATGTCATTTTGAAGAACATCATCATAGAAATCGCCACTCTTTTTTGGAGGAAAAGTTTTCTTCTTCTCAATCAGGGATGATCGTGACTCAGTCAATGTTTGTACTTTTTTTAAAATTTTACTATTAGTTTACTGAACTTTAAACTGTTGATAAATGCCAAATTGAACTTTTTTTAAAAGAATGGTGACTACTTGAGGAATAGTATATAATGAAGACCTATTTTGAACAATGCATGCATGCTAAGTTGCTTCAGTTGTGTCCGACTCTTTGCGACCCTGTGATCTACAGCCCTCCAGACTCCTTTGTCCAAGGCATTCTCTAGGCAAGAATACTGGAGTGGGTTGCCATTCCCTTCTCCAGGGGATCTTTCTGACCCAGGGATCGAACCTATTTCTCTTTATGTCTCCTGCATTGTCATGCGGGTTCTTGACCACTAGCACCACCTGGGAAGCCCATTTGGAACAAAGTAAATGCTGTTTGCAAAAAGGTAAATTTTGGTAATGCTCTGTCAACTTGGTTTAAAGTAACATGTATCAAGACTGGCCATGCACCAGGGTCCAGGCAGATTTCAGAGGTGAGATGAATTGGACAGTTAGCATCGGTCCTGCTTTGTTCCCAGTTGGTCTGACTAGGCAGGTCTCTCTCCTGCATCTCTAACTTCTAAGCACCATGGCCCCTCCCACACATGGGAATAGCCTCTGGACAACTTATGCATGTCCCCTGCCCTGGGTCCCAGCCCCTCAGGCTCTGAGTCCTGTGGCTGCATAAGGGGTTCTCAAGGAAAGAGCACACGTTGAACCCCTTTGGCTTTTCCCCTGGCTTGTGACGCTTCCCCAACAAGCAGCTGCTGGTCGTGACATTCAGCATGGGCTCAGTCCCTGCCTCGGGTGCGTCTCTCGGGCCCTTTGAGGAGATGGGCCTCCAGTCCTTGCTGCACTCCTGTAGGTGATGTCACAGTTTCCTGAGCGGTGGCTGATCTTGCACGACTGGTAGACTCCTTGAGGGCAGGGCCGAGGTGGGATTCCCTGCGGGTGCCTCAGTGCCACTGTGCAGTGAAGAGGGCAGAGGGCTTTGGGTCGGGCCAGCCTGAGTGTGCATCTCTTCACCTGTTAGCGGTGGCTTCGGGGCCACTTACCCCACCTCCCCAAGCCTGGGTGCCCCCAGCTGGGCAGCGACGGTAGCCATGCAGGGCACTGTGCAGGTTACACCCGCCACCCACAGGGTTTGCACAGTAGTTGTTTGCAGTGCTGAGAATCGGCGTGCGTGAAATACCTGCTGACTGTCATTTCAGGTTTTACTTCTTCTACCGATTGACTGACTCAAACCATACTTTTCTCTGTGTTCACGTTTGCAGAGTTTATGAAGATGTGGAGATTAGAGAAAAACAGAAACATGTTAACACGTTGATTCCCAGCAGCACAGCATATTTCTTAACTCTGCTTTTGTATTGTTAGCTTGAATACGAGAACTATGTCAGATTTGTCCTTGAGCTCCTCAAATTCTCAGCACAGGGCCTGATTCCATAGTTCCTAGCAGGGTTGGCTTGTTTGTCCATGTGTTCAAGGAGAGACCCAACATGTAGGTTTAAATTGTACACTTAGGTCTCTCTGCACCCCGAAACTTGCTTCTATGGACTTTAGCAACCTCGTCCTGGATTTTAGCAAGTGAACACTACCAGAGTCCTCAGTGATTGGCAGCTGTTGTGGTTGGCCGTGGGGCATTTTGGTGGAGGGGATGTAAATCAATAAATATCCCGTTTCTATCGTCTGCCTTGATTTTAAAGATGGAGCTCACGTCAACTAACCTGGCAGTACCTCCAGCCACCAGCCACTCTGGGGGTCCCAACAGCCTCACCTTTGGTCGTGGTCTTCCCCCAGGCCGTCGAGTCCCAGCCCCGGAGCAGAGAACCCTGGGACGGGACGTAGCAGGCAACGTTATCCCTGCTCTGCTGCTGGCCAGGGCAGGGGCCGGGCAAGCTGGTTTCCCTTCTAGAGGATGAGAGGCCTTTGGGGTGAACAGTAGTGCTTCAGCCTGTCCTGGGAGCCTAGGGCTTCCCTGGCTCAGCGGTAAAGAATCCGGCTGCAGTGCAGGAGCCGCAGGAGACGTGGGTTCGATCCCTGGGTTGGGAAGACCCCCTGGAGGAGGGCATGGCAGCGCTCTTCTATATCCTTGCCTGGAGAATCCCAGGGACAGAGGAGCCTGGCAGGCTACGGGTCCATGGGGCTGCAAAGAGTCGGCCGCCGACTGAAGTGACTTAGCGCAGGAGGCGGTGCAGTATGTTGGAAAGAAAAGCATGTCAGGAATCCTGGGGCTGCCCCGCTTTTGACTCAGCACCTCGGGACTCATGTCCGTCCCTCTGAGCCTCAGCCTCTCATCTGTAAAGTGAGGCCGGACTGGATGGCTTTTTTAAGGGCCTGTCTCTACCTCCTGTTTAAAACGGGTTCTCAGTGAGGTGAGAGAGGACCGGTGCAAAGGCCCTTCTCAAAGCCCCGTTTCTCTCTCTCTCTCTTTTTTTTTTGTCATTTCCGAACCAGAAAATGACAGATGGCGAGACCTGGACAGGAAGTGCCCCCTTCAGATTGACCAGCCGAGCGCCAGCATCTGGGAGTGCCTGCCGGACAAGTGCCAGGACAGCGCCCTGTGGCACCGGGAGGCGGCCACCGCCTGCGCAGTCACCAACCTGATCAAAGACCTCAGCCTCAGCGACCACAACGGGCACCCGTCCGCGCCCCCCAGCAAGCGCCAGTGCCGGTCACTGTCCTTCTCGGACGAGATGGCCAGCTGCCGGACGTCGTGGAGGCCCCTGGGGTCCAAAGTCTGGACGCCGGTGGAGAAGAGGCGCTGCTACAGCGGGGGCAGCGTGCAGCGCTATTCCAACGGGTTCAGCACGATGCAGCGGAGCTCCAGCTTCAGCCTCCCGTCCCGCGCCAACGCGCTCTCCTCTCCCTACGACCCGGCGGGACTTCACCCACGGCCTGGCGGCCCGCCTGGCCCGGGGGCGCCAGGCCCGGCCACCTGCGGACAGGCGGGCGACCTCTGGGGCCCCGCGGCGAGCCCCGTGGGCGGCGGCCGGCTGGACATGCAGCGCTCCCTGTCCTGCTCGCACGAGCAGTTCTCCTTCGCAGAGTACTGCCCGCCCTCAGCCAGCAGCACCCCAGCCTCGACGCCGGAGCCGGCCAGGCGCTCGGGGGGGCTGGCCCGCAGCCGCTCCCAGCCCTGCGTCCTTAATGACAAGAAGGTGGGCATCAAGCGACGGCGCCCCGAGGAGGCGCAGGAGCAGAGGCCCTCCCTGGACCTTGCCAAGATGGCACAGGTAAGAGCTCCCCTCCCCATGCCCCCACCCCGGGGAGGCGCTGCAGAAGCCGCCAGGGGCGTCTCGGAGCCTCCTCGGCTCCCGGTCCAGCCCGGGCAAGGGCAGGGTGCCCGCGTCAAAGAGGGCCAGAAAGCGGGTTCATTCGCTCGTTCTTAAAATCTGATGCGATGAAAGATGAAATCAAACCTCCCTTTTAAAGCCATCTTCATGTCAAAGGAGAAACGCTCTCTCCCGGCGCTAGCAGTGCTAGTGGTGCAGGAACAGAGAGCTGGGAAGAGGCAGGCACAGCCTCACAGACGCTGGGGGTACCCTCCTGGCCCTTCTCAGGGGCCTCCCCCAGGAGCCCCCGTCCCCACAGCTGCCGTAGGAACTGCCCGCACAGGCAGGGGTTCAACGTCACTCGGATCATGTTGATCCCGAGGTCAGGGCCGCGAGTGAAGGTTTCAGAGGACGAGAGAACAGGGGAGGCACGTACTCTTGTGATTGAGCTGCCGAAAGCGTGCGTCCAGCCAGAACTGGCAATCGTCCTCGCTGTCCCTGTAGGTGCGGCCTCTGGCCACGCGTCCTGTCGCTCGTGCGTCATCCTCTGTGTCTCAGAGCCCTGGCCACCCTCGTGCTTGGTCTTGGGTGTTGGTTAGAGTGAGCTGAACTTGGAGTTAATACGCCATCGTCAGAACAGTCTCCAAGCCTGAGAGCTGCCTGCGTTGGTCCTCACTGGGGAGTCCCAAGGGTCAGAGTGTGAGGGTGAGGCCCAGGAGCAGGGCTGGCACCTCAAGGACAGATGCGTATGGTGGGTTCAGTGTCCAGGGGGTGCTCAGAGCCACGGTCGGAGCCTCATCTTTTCTAGTCTTATTATGTGAGCATCAGTTGTGGCTGGGCTTGAGGGAATGGAGACTAGCTTGGCGATGAGAGGTTGGCCTTGCTCGTGAGCATGTGGCCACGTCCAGACGGGCAGGCTTGACGTGTCCACACCTTTCCAGGCGGGCCTCACTGCCTTCCTTCAGTGGCCAGCGCTGCCTTTTCACCAGGCCTCCTTTCAGCTGAGAATGAAAAATACAGCTTCTGCTGATGGCGTTTCCTCCTCTCTCCCTTAGTCCTCCGTCCCAACCTACAGATCCCCACCCCCCGAAAAAAAGAAGAGAGGCAGGTATCTCTGATCCAGAGCCCCCACCTGGCCCCCGGGTCCAATCTTTCTGGCCACCTTTGTCTGAGAGCCCAGGTCCTGGCTCTGGATCAGCGGGCAGTGCCCCCCTTTCTCTGTGCCCATGAGGATCGCCTGGGGAAGACCCGAGAGGAGGACCTGGAAGGACCCCCGCCCCAGCCCTCCCATCGCCACTTTCCCTTCCTATCGCCGCTCCAGGTGTGTCCGAGCTGATCAGCGGTCTAACACGTTTGTTCAGGTTGGACAGGCAAGTGGAATTTTCCTTCCTGGAGAAACGTAAATAGGTAAAAATGCTGGAAAGGTGACAGATTTGGGCAAAGAAAACTTCTGAAGAAAATCCAGAGCCATGAGTTCTGGGTGCGATAAAACAGCTTCAGTTAAATTTTTAATGCTGAGCTTATTTTATTAGCTAATAAGCTAGATAGGTAATAAAAACAATATACACGTATTATTATATTTTACTGGCCACAAGTTGGAATAACACCACGGGCATCGTTGGAGACATTTTCCCGCCCTCACTTGGGTAGAAACCGTTAAAAAATACATTGCTCGGTGGGGCCGTGCCCAGATGTATAGATTGCTTCATCGGCTCCAGGCAGGCCTCCAAGATCCTGAGGAGGCTGCCCTCTGTCCTCCTGTCTTTCCCCAGCCAAGGCCTGGGGAGGGCAGAGTCCGGGGAGAACAGAGAAGGGGCCCCTGGGAGGCATGTGGGCCTAAGGGCTGCGGCCGGAGGCCTGGAGATGGCTGGGCCCGAGCCGCCCCCCACCAAGCCCCTGGACCCAGCCGGCCCTCTTCCCATGGGGTGGCGCCTGCTGTGACTCCCCCAGCAGATGATTCGTGGCCCTGGAAAATGGGCTTTGCTCCTCTGGGAGCCTCAAAAAGCCAGGCCCAGCATCAGACAGCCACCTCTGTGCATCTGAAGAGCCTTGGATGCAGTCTGGAGCGTGTAGGACCCAGTGTCCTGTACCCTGGGGGCCCTCCTGCCCCCAGACCCTGTCCTCCGCGTGGGCTTCCCCGCACCAGCAGCCCCTGGGGAGTGAGCAGGTCTGCGCGGCGGTGGGGAGGGCGTCCTGTGCCAAGGGTCGGCATGTCCTGCTGTCGTTCCCTCCACTGGACCTCAGACCCTCTTGTGGGTCTTGGGATCTAGGCTTGTACGTTCGTCTGCCTGGCGGGAGGGATTCCAGGTGAGCACCGTCCTGCAGGAGCCCCTGTGTATGTGGGCTGTGGACCCAGGAGCCTGAGAGACTCGGTCTACAGGTGCAAAGCGAATGCGCTTCGGTCGGAATCTCTGGGATGACGGCAGCGCTGAGAAGCCATGGCCCCCCCAGCAGCACTGACCGGGGCTGGGACTTCCCCAGGGGTCTGTGTGTAAGCCCCCAGGGGCACCCTGGAGCCTCTCCAGGCTGCTGGTGGAAAAAGGACCAGGGAGAGACCCCGAGAGAGGCAGGCGGGTGGAGAGACCAAACGCTCTGAGGTCTGGGGCTGCCTTGTGCCCACAGGGAGCCAGGGAGCTGTTGGGTGGGCCCCACTCCGAGGGGCAGGCTCTCAGCTGGAAGCCTAGGGCGTGAGGGTAGGTGTGATCTCGGGCCAGGACCCTCCCAGGCCCCCCTGGAAACAGGCCTTCTGGAGTGTGATGTTCACCTTTAGGTCCTCACTGGGGGGTGGGGTGGGGGGGCAGACAGTGACAAATCAGACAGTCTCACAGATGGGGCAGGAGGCTGGCGGCCCCGGGAAAAGCGCTTCACATTTCTGTATAGCAAATAAATACCATGCTGACCCCCCACCATCAACGCAGGACTGCTGGGAGGAACAGGAAATCACCTGTGTGCGCATGTGTATGTGTGTGTATGTGTGTTGAGTAGATGTGTCCGCGTATATGTTTGTGTGTAGTTTATGCATGGAGGTCTGTGTATAAAGGACTGTGTGTTTCTGATTATCTGTTGACACGTGTGTCTCCGTCTACATGTCCATCACCTGTGCTCTGGCACCCCCGCCCCCGGGGAGCTAACGGATGCTGACCACCGTCGTGGGGGTCCCAGGGCTTGCTCTGGGCATCTCCAGGGGCAGAAACCGGCCCCGAGGGTGATGTCCTGCAGACTCCCCTCTTCATTCTTCCATCTCGTTCCTTCTGTTTTCACCCCCACCTTCCGTCCTGGCCACTCCCTTCTTCTTGTCGGTTCCTCTTCTTGCCTCATCCTCGGCTTCTGGAAATGGGAAGGAGGCCTGGCCTGCAGCTGCGCTCTGCCTGCAGTGACTCCGCGAGGGGGGCCAGGGGTCGTGAGATGGGGGCGGAGTCTGAATCTCCACCTGCCCAAGAAGGCGGGTCGTCGTGAGCATCCTCGTCTCACGGCTGTCACCCGTGGAACCAGGGTGCAGGGGACTGCGGGAGCCCGCCAGGCGCCCTGCCCGCCCAGCCGGGGTCCAGGCACAGCCGTCCAGCTGTCGGCAACGGTGGCTTGGCTCCCACAGCGGTGGGGGCCGGTGGGGGGTGCAGGGGGGTTAGCAATTGCTTTCAGACTGTCTTTGCTGCTCCTTTTTTTAAAATTCTGAATATAATTTTTTTCACTTTTTATTTTGCATTGGAGTCTCACTGATTAACAGCGTTGTGCTCATCTCCTGCGCACGGCAAGGTGACTCACCCATACATATCCGCGTGTCTCTGCTGCTTAAAACCTACATGTCCCGCTCTTGGGCAGGGGAGCTGGTCCCGAGTGGGGGAGGGTGACTGCGGGGAGGAGGCCCTGGGGGGAGGATGACGCAAGGACCTGGCCCCGACAGGCCCTCGCTCCCTGGAACTGCAACTGCAGCTCGGTCCACAGAGCAAGACGCTCGGAAGCGGCCCAAGGGTCAGTCCTGCCTTGTCCGAGCCAGGTCTGACCCTTTCCTTGACCTCCCTGAGCTGCTTTACCTACCCCCCTGTTCCGCCTGGTGTTTTATATGAAGCCTCAGCCTCCCTTTTGCAAAATGGCAGCGTGTGCCAAAGAGGGCAGGGCCCAGCCTGAACACATGAGTTGTTTATTAGCGGGACTTTCGCTGACATGATTCTTAGCTCTTTTTGAAACCTAGTTTGACCGCCCAGCATTGGTTGACTCCCAGCAAGCCCTGGGCTGCACGTGGCCACTCAGACCTGGACCAGGTACGCGAGCGTGCTTAGTCACTTCCATTGTGTCCGACTCTCTGCGACCCCACTGACCATGGCCTGCCAGGCTCCTCTGTCCATGGGATTCTCCAGGCAAGAATCTGGGAGCTGGGTTGCCTTTTAAAAGCAACAGTTAAAGATGACCCGCTGAACGCCATGCCCTGGGTGGGTCTGCCGTGTTTTTTAAGTCCAAGCTGGTCATCCTGAAAGAGCAACAAATTGTATTTCTCACAGTGCCTCCGACAGAAGGGAGACGCTTGTGAGGAGGGGTCTGGGGGTTGGAACAGAGCTTTGATTGATCGCAGCTGCCCACACACTGCGGCCCCACACCTCCCAGTGCAGGCCTCTGAACAGGCAGCAACTGTTGTGTTAGCAGATGTTGGAGGGGCCTGTGAAAGCTGGCCAGGGGGCAGTTTGGGGTAAGAAAGAAGCCTGAGTTGGAAGCTATGCTGAGAGCCGTGGCCCACAGACGGGTCCAGGAGACGCAGGTCGGCCAGGGCCACATGGGCTCTGACGGGGGAGGGCTTGATGCAGGAAGTCGCCGGAAGGGTCATCTCAGAGGTGCGTCGATAGCTCGTGCCGCTCTGCCGGCAGAGTCCCTGGGCAAGGCGGCTCCTGGCCGGCCCCCTGCCTGTCCTCTGTGTGCGGCAGGCCCGCCTTCCCCGAGGGGTGGCCCTCACCCCACCAGCCGCACTCCCT